TCAGCAGGAGACCAGTTGCAAATGGTCCCAGCATGAGGAAACTGCACAGCCCTCAAATGCCAGTTAGCAAGCAGTGGTGCTCTGAAGTAGGAAAATAAGAAGGTATATCAAACTAAGCATATGAGATTGAAAGAAATGTGTATGATCTGTACTTCCCACCCAGTGCGTGACGATACCTAGGGGAAAAGAGAACTTACTATGAGGACAACTGTTGTTAAATTATCACTTTTTCAGTCAAGGCAAATTGGCTCACAACAAGCTCTTTCACTGAAATCTTTCTGATGATCACCCTTGCCTCCTCCCAGAGTCACTACACTGTTGAACAAGGTGTGTGACCAAAGCCACTTTTATGCCCATCTCCGAAGTTTCTCCCTAGTGTTCACCAAAGTATTCTTAAGCTGTATCAGGACTTTGAGAGAGGATTTCACCCACATTACTCTAGTCAGTGCTACAAGATCTTACATACTCTATTTCTTTTAAGAAAAGGTTTGTGACAAAGACTAATAAGTTTTAAAATGGTGGGGGTCCCAATATATTTCTATCCTCACCTGATGACATAAGCAAAACAGCCTGAAGAAGCGCAACCTCGGTGTCATCCAGGTTAAATGACGAGAGAGACATGCCCAGGTCAAAAATGGCATCGGACACCACTCCAAGACCCCCATTTTTCAGCTGGCCCCTTGTCACTGCCATCTCCCCATTTAGTGTTAAAGTCTCACTCTCAGGGTCATAGCGAACTGCTGCACGGAGGGACATGATCTCCATACAGCAGCCTTTCAGAAGGATGATCTGGTCTTCGCATGGCAGCTGCAGAAATCACAGATAGCAAAGAAAAATATGTGTTTTTCAGACTGAATTAGTTTTACAACTATAATAAATCCGTGATGATGAAATAGCCGTTAATACCGCAGGACACCACATTACACAGTGAAGTTACACTACAAACACCTTGCTGAGCAGCTAGTTCCAGTTCACCTCACAAAACTCCCAAGACTCACATGCTTACTTTCAGACACTCTTGGGGTATTAATATCCCCATACACCCTTCAGAAATCTTGCTGTCATACAGTTGTGGAGAAGGGGACCTGGACAAGATACTCAATGCAAACCAAGCTGGTTCAGACACGGAGGTGAAGTGCAGAAGCTAGGCTCTGTGAGAACCCTTGGTTTGTGGGAGCTTTATAAAATTAAGTCTAATAAACATTAAGAAAGTAGCTTTCCATTCTGCAGAACATTTCACAGAGTGTGAAAGATGAAGCAGAACTGCCAGTTGCCAGGTGGTTGGCGACATATATTGTGGGTTCTGAATTGCATTAGGGGTCGATCTGCAACGGCTGAAGTGGTCACTGCTTTCAGCTCTTTATCCTTCTCTCTTCCACTCCTGAGTTCCCTCAGCTTACAGCTTGGCAGAAGAGAATAACCTATAATTGAGGCTGGTAAAGACCATCCCAGTTAAACTCGTTGCCAGCCATGCTTATTTCTCACCTGACCACGGAAAAGACAGATGATGCTTGGGAGGGTCTGTAGGAGTGAACTGCTTTTTAAATAAAAAGAATGAAATAAAATTCTGTATCTAGAACCAATACCTCAATCAGTGGAGCATGTGCTCTTAATTCTCACGGTCCATTTCAAAGAACAGACAACTTACTAAGCTATTTTCACCTTGTGAGGCTCATCTCCTTGGTTATCACTAGGCAGACAGAAAATTCTGCAGGGAAGAAACAATTGCTTTTTGTTGTAGAGTTCCAGTTTTTATGCTAGTGCATAAGTCATAATCTTCAGGGTATGTGGCAAGATTTCTCTTTTCCATAATATTAAAAATGGTAGGCTGTCTGAACTGATGCAGGTAGGTTCTTTTACAAGGTACTGCCAGGATGCTGAGACAGTAGGAGAATGTGCTCTTTGTAGCAGTAGCATGTCTTTACGTTTTAGTAGGTAATTAAATGATAGCAAATACCACCAAGACTATTTTGAGGCTGTCATTAAATCAACAGCAAAGGGTCACGTTTACAAAAAAGCAACTCAATTTTACTTGGACTGAAAGGAGGCAAAAATCCATCCACTACTGATTCATATCAAGTTATTATTACCTGATCTGTGATTCAGAATGAAAAAAAAAACCTATTTATAGGTTTATGTGGCAACTGTGTACTCACAACGCAATTATATTTGTCTGGTGTAAAACCATATAGAGTGAATGTTGGACAGTTACCTAACACAGGTGAAAAGCAGTTGCCTGTTAAAGTTTTAAGCATAAAGCCAGCCATAGTCAGAAGGGGAACTGAATCATGCACCTATTTTTCCAGCAATGCCAGCTTCAGGTGTAAAGTGTTTGATACAGAAGAAAAATGACTCATCCAATTCAGGGCAAATCACTTTGCCTGAGCTCAGCAATAGCCTGTGGAGGGTTGCATAAGCATAGCGGCAGTCTAGCTGCCCAGTGACACCAGCGCTGTTTCGCTGCTGAGACTGAAGGAGGGCAAGAAACAGAGCAAGAAATGAGAAAAAAAAAGATGTGAGAACAACCATGAAGAGATATCAAGAGGGAGTAACTGCAAAGAAGACAGGGACGTGTGCAAAAGAAAGGGGGAAGGGAAGAAAAAAAAGAGAACTGAAGAAAGACGAAACAGAAAGAAAAATGGAAGAAGAGGTAGACAGATGATAGTAAGGTATTACACGGCAGTTCAATCGTTTTATTCACTAGGCCATTAAATCAAAGAGAACTTCTCTTCCTACTTGAACCTTTCTTAAAACTTCTTTGTGGTACTAGTGATCTAGTACCATAGGATTATGCCCATCCTTCCCCTTCCTTCCTAATTCCGAAGGATACACTGGATACCAGCTTCATGGACACCACGCCTCAGCTTTAATCTGCCAACAGCAGCATTTACCAAGAACGGGCGCCTGAATGTCACTTCCGTTCCAGACTATGCAGAGTTCCATCCTACTGAGCGGTGCGACCAGGGCACCTTCCAGGAGCGGGGTAGACAAATGTGACTAACATCTGCTGCATGTAGGGTCTGTCCTTCTCTCTCTGCAGGGAGCAAAAGCAAAAGGCAGGAATCTGAGGTGTTCACCTCAGCAAGGTGTACTGGTAGCCACTGCATGTGTGAACTCAGCACCATGGAACTGAGATGAGCTATCTAGAAGGATATTTATATAGCCCTAGCCAACATGGAAGCACTGGCTGATCGCTGTGACACCTAAACCCCCATCAAACTGATCAAATGCTGCTCAGTCTAAATGCTATGTTTTCTAAGTAGAAGGAACTGCAAGAAGGAAAGAGCAGAAATACTGAGAAGTGCATGAAGTTTTTCGGATCCTTCCATTACTCTAGGGTTAGAATCTCACTTTGAGGCATGCCCCGTAGGCCAGTGGATGCACATGAGCTACGCTGGGCAGTCACAGTGCTTTTGATGGCTTGCGTACGTGTGCAAAGAAGAGAGAAAGAAGAAAAAAGGGCGATAGACGCTTCTTGCTCTGCCTCTCCTTGGTAGAGATTTACAGCACTCACAGCTTCTGTGGCAATTAGGAACTGCAATAATGTTTGAATGCTGGGCAGATCCTATGGGAGAAAGGAAGGCTTTTTCTCATAAACAAATTCACAGTCCACACGGTGTTGCTTCTCAGAAAAAAGACATGGATTAAAAAACATAAATGCATTAAATAAAGCTATCAGGAATGTGTCCCTTCAAAAAGGAGCAACCATTTGTCATTTCTGCTATGCTGCAGCAGGAGCTATATGACAGCTCAGAGAACTGCTATCCTATTCTTTTGTGTTCACGATGAGTTGTCCCTCACTCTGCTGTCAGACCTCAGTGTCTAGGGGTGTCAGGTTTACAAAGTGGCTCAGCTGTAAACAAAGCATGTCCTAGCCAAGCTATGTAACCTACAGAGGTCATGCCCAGCGACTCCTTGATTTCTTCATCTATGCCTTCTGCTCAGCTCTGACACAAGTGGGCCCACGGTAGCCAGGAGGGGTAGGAGATGTCAGTTGGGCACTGCAGTCTGCGTGTGACTGGCAAAGCTTTCTAAATTAAAAAGACTACCTTGGAATGTCACTGCAACTTCCCACCGAGAGACACCAAATCAGAGGAGACAGCTTCCCTCAGACACTGAGTGCTGCAGGGGCCTCTTGATCTATGGATACATTCTTCATATTTTAAAATCTTCATGCTTGGCCACTCTTTCATGCCTTCTTGGCTGATAGAGCCAATGCTGAGCTTAGCTACGGAGAGCTGTTTACACTTTGCCAACTATTGATATTTACCTCCTCTTATTCTGTAGGTGCCAGAAGAGGTAAAGACCATTTGCTGACAGAAATAGCTCTCCTTGACTGACCTTAAAGAAAAGTTGTCAGCCACAAAGAGTAAAATGCTATGGCTGCCTTAAACTTCTTTCCTGATTGATGTTTAGATATTAGGGGAAAAAGCTGTCCCCATGTTAGGGAGCCTGGTGGACTCCTTAGCAGGGCTACTCTCATTTTCAGTGTCATTCTCTTGGCGTTTAACCAGTGGAGTCAAGCGTTGCTCTGCAGCGTGAGAGTGCAGGCAGGCCTCTTTCCATGGCTGGCGTAGGGATATTTCAATATTAAAACTCCCATGGCTGTGGATCCTAAGGGACTCACAAGTCTTAAAAGTTATTTTCAGTTACATTCAGGCTGCCATTAGGATACAATTTTTTAAGTTAAGAAAAATATCAGCCACTGTGTTTGGACCTCCAATGAAAGGGATAACCCCAGCGTAAACAGATCTGCCTAGAGCCTGCGTATTCCTAATTTGCAACATAGTAAAGAAACTGTGTACTGTACATTTTACATGTGAGTATCTGTGTGGAAAGACAGTCCATTACTTTTACAGACTTTTCTGTGCGCGCCCTCCCTGTTCAGGAAAAACATGCCTAGGGAATATAATGAGGCAAGTGCCTTTCCTGGATAGGGATACCTTCCTGAATTTGAAGTATTTGTTATTATACAGCTCCAACTCCACAATACTAGAACTGCCAAACGGCCAGAAAGCATCAAGGGAACCATGTGTGTTGGAAGATCTGATGAAATGTATCAAAAATACTTTTAGACAGACTCTTTTTGCTCATTGGCTTTGTTCAAGGCCACCTCTAAAGACACATTCAAGTCCCTCATGAATCCTGATGACTTAAGAGATCAACAAAATAAGGAATTCAGTAATTACATGAAAAAGAAAACTAAATAAAAACCAGATTATTCCAATCTAATCTATTTTTATACTCCAATTTTTCTGATTTTAAACATACTGATTTTTTTAGTAAAGTCCTGCCTGTTACGGTTCAATGCCAGCAGTATTTTGAACAGAGTTTAACATCCAGCAGGTAAAGAAGGGATACAAGATGGTTTTCTTACCTCACAAAACATAGGCAACTTTTTGGCAAAATCCACCACTCTTGTAATCGCTGGTGTGATAATTTTTGTAAACTGGCTGAAGGCTTCTAAATCCACTTTCCCACCTTCTGGGGCATTGACTATTGGTGCTTGTCCAATGTCTTCTGGCTAAGGATATAAAGAAAGCTACATAAAGGAACAATCTATCTTCGAGCAAATAGTTGATCTTGAAAGTCCTGCTTGGCAAAGGAAGATATGCTATTAAAGTTCACCAATATATTTTTATTAAATTAAGAAATAATACTATGCACTTTTAAAGTAGAGCCTAGTATGCCACACTATGTGAATCTGTTATATAGCATTAGTGAAAGAGGTGACTGCAGAGAATTGGGTGCCTGGCATGCCACTACCCATGCTGTGTGGGTTGCTGCATTTTTGTGCACATGCAGTTTCTTGCTTGTGCCTGTATCTGAACATCTTGTGGGTGTAGCTTGTGCATTTTTCCTAAAAAATATAGGGATAATCTAGTTTCTTACAGGTCCTGGGAAGTCTCAAGTTTCCTTAAAACCAAACGGAGGTACCTCACTCATCCCCTGGAAGATGCCCAGACCTTTGCAGGATGGGGCTCTCCCACCTACTCAAAGTTCTGAAATCTCTCCCAGAGCAGAGATTGCCCAGTATCACAGAGCTCCTGGCAATTGCCAAAGCCTATTTTGAGAACTAGGCTAAAGCAACTGATGACTAAGAAAGGGCTAACTTGAAGCTAGTCTGGATAAACTGAATATAATTTGAATTCATCTGGATAAAATTTAGGTTGAAAAATCATCTTCTGCATGACTTCAGCTCAAGGCTTCTCCATCACAAAAATCCTATTTTGAGGATTTCAATAGGAACACATAATAAAAGTCTTGATCGGAATCCATGCGCATGACTGTTTTTTATTCCAACTGCATTTTGACTTGTTCACTGGATTCTATGACAATTTGTCAGCGTTACTGTGTATTTTAAAAAACACATATCAAAGCTGTTTTTCTGTTTGCTAAGTACAGCTTTGCAGTTAGAAAAGTCCTGCCAAACAGAGGTTCCATTTTGTTTGCTTCAGAATGTTAAAAACTGTGTAAGACTCAGAGAAGAATGCCTTTCACACTGATGGAGCTCATAACATTTATATAAGGGCACATAAGCAGGGGAGTTGCTGAAACTGCTGTCTACAATAAGAACGTGTGCTCAATAGCTTTTTAAAGCAACACTTCATAAAAGACCCTTCCACAGCTCTGTCATCAGTCTAACTTCTGAATCTAACTTCTTTCAGGGAAAAACTCAGTGAAACACTAATAAAACAAGCCCCAATTGTAAAAGAACAATGAAGAGGACTGGGCTCAATTATCTAGGGGTTCCTACTAAAAAGCTCAAATAATCCCAGTTCTAGGCTCCCTCCCTCCCTGAACCTTGGGAAATGAAACCACATTGTCTATGCGCTCATGATAAACAATCTTCCTCACGTCCAAGCAAGAAGACCAAACACTTACAACCACGCAGAACATTGTTAGGGAGGAAAAGAGAGAACACAGCATTCCTTGGGAAAGCCCAAAGAATTCAAGATTACTAGCTAAAACCAGTGCACTCCGAACGGGCATGCAGCTGGAGAACCTTGGCCACCTACCTCACCTCAACAGGTAAAGAGGTCCAGACCTCAAAGAAGCTCTTGGGAGAACCAGCCTCAGCTGCCTAATGACTGACCGCGGCTCCTGGGGTGCGCAGTCTCTCCTCTGGCTCTTCCACCACTTCTGGCAGGGGACTGCCAAGAGCCCCCCATCAGGGCTGTCAGGCTGGCTTGCCCTTCGCCTGCCATGCCCACTGCAAGGTGTCAACGAGCTGCCTACGCTTACTTGGAAGCTGCGGCAAAACATGAGGGGGCCCTGGAGCCTGGGCTGCACCCAGCGCGGGTTGGTCTGCTTTAGGAACCGACTGCAGAAATCGCTGCCAGTTTCTGAATTGCCTGCTGCAGCTGTGGCCCCTTCTCTCTGCCATGGCTGGCCCTTCTCCCAGGAGCCCCATCATCAAACGTCCCCCGTCCCTTCCTGGTGGCCCTGCGCTGGGTGCTCCTTCCCTCCAGTGTTGCTGCCTGCACAGCCAGGCCAGCATGTCCCCAATCCACCACGCTACAGTGGCCTGGCCCTTGCCGGCTTTCTGCCCGTGTCCTCATTCCCAACCCCACCCTTGAACTTCCTATTTTTTTATCCTAAATCAGATGATACTGAAGGAATAGTACTCCTGGCTAAGTAAACAAATGCATTATTGCAGCTGACGTTAAAGAACAAGTTTCAGGCTTCTGGCCTATTAAAAGCAACGAAGGAAACCTTGCTCTGCAGCAAAATTGGAAAAATTCTCTATTATTTCTTGCTGGCAATTACTGGCTGTGTTTTCCCTCCTGCATGCTAATACAAACATGTCATCATGCATACAAAAATATGAGCACTGCCACTGGAATTAACAAAATATTATAAAAGGGATCAACTAGCTTGAATAGAAGATTTCTCTTAGCAATTTAATGATAGATCAAGGTTCCCATTGGGAGTTAGGCAGCAGGAAGGAAACTAGGCTTGCACAAAATGAATATTCTCTATCTGGTTTGGTATACATAGACTATTAAAGACCCTCTTGTATTCCCGACATGCAGTCTCTAATCTCTCTTTTGTGCTATCTAAGCATTTTGTATTCTGCACTTATTTCCTTTAAAAATCAATTTAGAAAAATCAAATAAATCCTTTCCTAAGGCTGAGCATCACACACCACCATGTATTTTCTGATCCTTAGTTACAGGCAGAAAACCTCAGTCTTATGGTATGCCATCCCAATGTTATAGTGTATGCAGCATCCTGCTTTCACTGAAATTAATTCCTCTTTGTCAAATTTATTTTAAGACGTGTTCACTTTGGAACGAGAAAACAAAAAGCACAAGTTATTACTTTAAAATATCAGCTTCCATTTAAAACTTGCTGTTGTTTTATAACATTTACAATATGTTGCACGTTTGTCCCCAATAAAAACAAGTATCCCTGAATATATACGTACACAAAAAGACATAGTATGTATTGCAGACCGATACTCTTATTAATCAGCAGGGAAACTATTTTTCTGCTTTTTCTTATCATAGCACATTAAGGGCATCCAGCTGGTTAAGCCTTAACTCAGCAAAATAGCGCTTATCTTTTGAAATACATGGTTTGATCAGATATTGAAGTTCAGCCAAGAGTAAGCAAGCAGATACAATAGAAATCATCCATTTTCTCATATACGTGGACACACCAGCAGATATACCCTCTCTGAGGCTGCCATCTTGGGAAGGGACTTTGGAGGAAATAAAAGAACAGTGTAGAAGGCTACAGTCCCTACCAGAAATTTCCTTTTCTGCTTCCAGTGGCTTCCCTGGGCATTGGTGGCCACATGTGCTTCGGTAACAATTTTGATCAGCTCCCATTCCTCGTCCGTTGGCTCTGGTTTGTGCCCGATTGTTTTCTGCAGCTCTTCCCGACGTCTCTTCTCGCGATTTTCTTCTATCAGCTTCCTCTTTGCCAACCGCTTGCTGTCATCCAACACCACTAGCAGGGACAAAAGCATATAGAAATGGCAGGAAGCTCTTAGGCTTGTCTGATCTTTGATCCTTTCTATGCCTGGTGCACTGATTGCAAACACCTTAGCTAACTGGTGAAGAAGTACTTTGGCATGGCCCAGAGTTGACATAGTTCTCTTATTTCTCTCTCCAAACTTCAATCTCTCAAAAGTCTGGATTGCAAAGAACGACCTACCCTTCTGGTAATGTTATGTATGGTACACTACCGTTGTCTTTAGTTGCTTATTCACAGTAAATACAACTAATACAGAAAAGCTTTCGGAGGACTGAGAAAAAGGCAGTGACAACTCCATATGTGCTATCCACAGAGGTGACTTTCTAGTATTGATATGTGTTGGTCAGAATCAGACTCAAACCAACTTCTTACTCTATACAGGCGCTAAAAAGCTGAGGCTAATCATTGCCTAATTTGTCGGACAGGGCTGGAGTTGAACTGACGATCTTGACTTACGCAGTTCCCTCTCCTGAAGTTCTGCCTGGCTAAATGAAATTGTATTGTTTCTTCTCTTTCC